CCAGACAGAGAGAGACATAGAGACAGAAAGTGAGAAATCCCACCCCCCCCCCTGGCGGGATGGTCACACCGCAATCCTTTCTCCTCCATTCTCCTCTCAGGATTTTGGGCACACATGCACGCACGCCCGGCGTGAGTTTTAACCCACCAGGTCCAGGACGCGAACTGCGGTCGACTACGTGGAAGTCCAGCGACATAGCCATTATGCTAACTGCTGATTCCCTATCCAGGGCCCTTCTGAAAGCCCTGCTCTGGGCCAGTTTATACAGCTTCTGAAGTGGGCCCGGGCCCTCGCAGGCTCTGTGGTCAGCGCTGGCGTCTGTCTCCACCCTCAGCAGCACTCTCCCTGTTCCCCTGAGACAGCTCGTCTGGCCTGCAGATACCCCAGCACGAGTCTAACAGATGCTTCAGGCTTGCACGTGCAGGAGAGCAGGCTGGTCACAGCTCTGGGTGCTGATGGCTCCTTAGTGGGTCATATAGCTGGGCTGCGCCCGTGTCATGCCCCCCACCCCCCGCCACTGGTTTGTTGAAATTAGCATCCAGGTAAGTTCTACATATTGAAATGGGCTGCTACATCGTTTAAGGCTACCAGGGAAATTCTAGGGCTTTACAGACTTTTTCTTTTTTTTTTTTTTTAAGAGTTTTTGGTGTAAGGCGTGTGCATTCATCAGAGAGAGAAAGCAAGAGGGAAAGTGAGAAATCACTCTCCAGGGGGATGGCCTGGCTATTGTCCCTTCGCCTGCATTCTTCTCCTGGGATTTTGGGCACACACGCACATTCACCTGGAGTGATTTCCAACCTACCATGTTGAGGACTGGAACTGTGGCTGGCCACTTGGGAGTTCAGCACCTTACACACTATACCACCTCCTGGCCCACAGACGTTTTTAAAGAATTATTTTTAAATTAAATTAAATTTATTATTATTTTTAAAATTTTGCTATAGGACATGTGTGCTCATTAGAGAGAGAGAAAGCAAGCCACCAGGTCCAGGACGTGGACTGTAGTCAGCGGCATGGGAGACTAGCACGTTACCCACCATGCTACCTGCTGGCCTCAAGATTTTTTTTTTTTAAGTTTATTTATTTCTTCCATTAGTGAGAGAGACAGAGAAGGCACCCCCAATAGAGTCCTCACGCCTGGTCCACTCCAGCCTCAGCAGCCTGGACCTCTGCGTGTGCTTGGTGTGCACACGAGGCCTGGGGTTGCAAACCTGGGGATGTCCTGTGTGTCTAGCACGTGTTCTGTCACGGCTGTGCTACCAGCTGACCCATTCATGGACACTCGCCATAGTCCTTCTTACAGCCACGTTACGGAAGTGAGTCACCTGGAGACTTAAGAAGGTTGTAGAGGGGCCAGCAGGTGGCATGGTGGCTAAGGTGCTGAACTCCCACATGGCTGACTGTGGTTCTAGTCCTGGACCCAGTGGCTTGAAAATTACTTGGCACATGTGTGTGTGTGCCCAAAACAATGAGAAGGAAATAAAAGAGGGGCATATGGCACGGCCATCTCCCCCGGGAGTGATTCCTCACTTTCCAGCTCTCTATTTCTCTTTGATGAGCACATGCACCCTATGGCAAAAAAACTGAAAAAAAAAAGGTAGAAATTGAGTCAAGGTGTAGTTGAAGCTGAACAGATTATTTAAAACATAATGGAGCTGGGGTCAGCAGGTGGCACGGACTCTCACATGGCCAACCATGATTCGGGTCCCGGACCTGGTGGCTTGCTTTCTTCCTTTCCCTTTCTCTCTCTCTGGTCACATTTTTTTTTAAATTTTTTTTGGAGAGGGTGTGTGCGCTCACCAGAAAGATGGAGAGAGACAGACAGACAGAAAGTGAAAAATCACCCTCCAAGGGGAATGGCCACACCACAATCCCTTCTCCTCCATTCTCCTCTCGGGATCTTGGGCACGCATGGACATGCGCCCAGCGTGAGTTTAAGCCACTGGGTCCGGGACTCGAATCGTGGTTGACTACATGGGAGTCCAGCGACATAGCCATTACGCTAACTGCTGGTCCCTCTCTCTGGTCACATTAAAAAATAATAACAAATGGATTTAAATAAGTAATTCTTAAAAAGAAGATGTAATTGAGGGGCCAGAAGGTGGCATGGTGGTTGGGGCACTGTGGTTTGAGTCCTGGACCTGGTGGCTTGCTTTCTCACTTTCCCCCTCTCTCTCTGTCTTTCTCTGGTCAAATTAAAAAGAAAGTAATGATAATAAATAAAGATAAATGTAATAGAAATATATCACACCTTATAAGAGGAGCGAGACATATACTGTCAGATAGTGATCATCTGTGCTCTCAGAAAAGCAGAATAATAAAAAACTACAATCTCACAAAACACAGAAAGTTCTGTAGAAAAACAGGAGAGAATGCATAATAAACATAATAACGTTTTAGCAAAAAAAGAAAAAAAAAGCTCCCAAACCAGCTCCTTTTTTCCCCCCAGAAGTTTTCGCCTTGGATGTGTGCACTTGCCAGAGAGAGAGACAGAGACAGTGAGCAGGAAGGTGAGAGATCACACCCTGGGGAGAAGGCCCTGGGTCTGCATCCCGAGACCTCGTGCACACCAAGCACATGCAATCCTGCTCCCTTCTCCACCCAGGATCTTTGGCACACACGCACTTGCCTGCCACATGATTTTCAAGCCACCAGGTCTGGGACTCCAACTGCTGTTGACCATATGGCAGCCAGTGACATAACTGCTTCGCCAGCGGCTGGTCCCAGTGCAAAACCCTTTTGCTAGCCTGATCACCCCTGGAGTGCCGTGCCTGCAGCGGTCCTCACGTTCTCGTGTGAAGCCGGGCCCCTGTGCCCTGAGCTGAGGTGTGGCAGTGCCATGCTTACACAGCTGGGCGGAAGTGGGCCCGCCCGGTCTCCCAGCTCC